AAGTAAACAAGCAGCCACAGGAAGCCATTAAGAAGAGTGGGCGCTAATGAGAGCACCGCGGGGCCCTGCGCACCGGACCAGCCAAAACCACCAGGGAATGCCTCGCCAGGCAATTTGGAGCCCAGAGCCCTGCTGGCAGGCCATAAACCTGTTTGTAGTCTCCATCCGTTCGTTACCCCTTCAAGTTTGTGTCGTTAGGGGTGAGAAGAAGGACCCTCGGATGCTGTGATCTCTTCTCAAGACCTGCAGTTGCAGGGGGCAGATGGACTCCCAACTCCAAGGTAAAGGGCTGCCTGCTTCCCACCCCCAACCTTGGCTCACCACGGTGGGAGACTAGGGGTGTTAAGCCCACCTTCCAGAGTCTTTGGGAATGGTTTCTTGTTTGACTTCCCAAATGTTCCTCTGCACCTCCACAAGTTATAAACTGAAAGGACCAGTGGCTTGTCTAAAATATTTCATATCATTTACTATTGGGCACTAGGCTGGCGTTCTTCCAAGACAGGGGTGGGGCCTGGCCTCCTACAGATGCTGGGGTGGGGGAGGAGGCACTACATGTACACATTCCAAGCATCCTCAGGGATGCTGGTTCTCCTACCTTCTTGTCCTCCCAGCAACCACACCCAGTGGCCATCCCTCCCACCTGCCATTCCGGGCTCTGGGTACCTCACAGATCTTTCTCCTAGTCATTCCCCCAGACCACACACAGAAGGGGTCTTAGGAATTCCCCTTTTGATCTTAGATGATTCGAGAAGTATGTGGGAAAACCAGCTGAGGATAAGTTTCAGGGCAGCTTAACGTGTTTGGAACTTGTTTATGATCTCTTTTATGGGAAAAAGAGGAGTCATCATGTAAGTAGATGCTCACAAATACTTTGGTCGAATTTAAAGACGACAAATCACCTTAGACAATCCCAGTAGGAACAGTGGTAAAGACTATCTTCTCCTGCTAATCAAGTCTGCTTGTCTCCCGGGACTCCTGGGTGAGTGTGTGCACACACGTGCCTTCACTTTCACACTCCTGTCAGTTCGTTTTGCTCAGTGAAAAAACACATTCAAATGTATGTTTTCATTTGTATATTTCATGTGCCATTCACAGGACATTAGAACAGCATATTACCAATTTGTAATGGAATTCCTGACACATTGACTTTAATTGAACTATAACCCCACAACACAGGAATTTAAAACACACACACACACACACACACACACACACACACACACACGGTCCTGAATCTACAACTTCTCCATTTCTTGGATTCAGTGCCTACTTCAGCCCCTGATGCTCCAATAATGGTTCCAAGATAAGGGTTTCAGTTGATGGAGTAAGGTTTAAATCCAATCAGAACATGGTTGGTCACTCCCATAGCATTGGTTCTGGAATTGCACCCATGGTCTTGCCTTCCAGGCCAGCCATTACTACAGTTTACAGGGTTCTCAGAGGCTTAAGATGAATGCTGACATTCTCCTGTCAGTGAGCACAGCTCCTTCCAGGGAGCACTATAAAAACTAGCCAATAGGGACGGGCCTTCCAAGTTAGTCCTGGCGTGATTTCTCCATGCTATTTTAAAAAGGCGTCCTTTTCTTTTGTGTATGAGTGTTTGCTTGCATGTATCTCTGTGTACCACGTGTGTGTGGTGCCTGTGGATGCCAGAGGGGATGCCACATTCCCTGGAGCTGGAGTTACAGGTGGTTGTGAGTCACCATGTAGGTGCTGGGATTCAAACCTGGGTCCACTGGAAGAGCAGACCAGCATGCTCAACCATGTACCTGTGTCTCCAGCCCCTCTCTATGCTCTCTAACACTCAAGTACATGGAGTCTTTACAATAGGGTTTGCCTGTCACATTCTGGAAGATGACCGAGAGCGTAGCATAGCTTATAGTGTTTGTGGGTCCAAAAGCACTGGCCAACAACTCAAAAAGATAGTCAATCTTAAAATCTAATGTATCCCCTTGGTAACTGTTTCAATTCATTAAATATTTGACATGTATATATTTTTTAGATTTTACTTTAGGTTTTATTTTACTTTGTATGTATGGTTTGCCTGCATTCATGTATATGCGCCACGTGTATGTCTGTTGGATCTCCTGGAACTTCGGTTATAGGTGGTTGTGAGCCACCATACAAATGCTGGGAATTAAAACCCAGGTCCTCTACAAAGAGCAACAGGAGCTCTTAACCTCTCAGCCATCTCTCTAGTCCCCTTATTTTTTTATTTGCGTGGGGAACTGTTTTCAGCTTTGTGAGTAGTGGTAATTAGGATTGCCTCAGTCAGAAGTGTTTCTGCTTCCTCACTCCAGGGTTCTCTCACAGGCTCTGCTCTGGGAAAAGGAGAGTGAAGCCTGCCCCCTGCAGCCCAGGATCTGCAGCTTAATGCAGTCTGCCACTGTTGTAACAATGTATATGATACTGAGAACAGAGAACATTCTTTGAGAATTTATCCAACAAAGCTGAGTGGTCATGTTTATACACTAGTATCAATTCAGTTGCCAGAATTTATCATTTTTTCATATCTCCTGTTTTTTTTACATTTCACTGTCTTTCTTAAAGTAGGAAAATTGTTTTCTTTATAAACCAAAATCTTTATAATGGTCTTTGGGGAAGCCTGCTAGGTGGCTTAGGGAGTAAAGGTGTTTGCTGCCAAGGCTGACTTGAGTTTAATCCCTGGGATCCACAGGGTGAAAAGAGATAACCTATTGCCCTAAATTTTCCTCTGACTTCCATCGTTGTACTGTGCCACATGTGTGTGCACACATGTACTGTGCCACATGTGTGTGCACACATGTACACACGTACACATAAATAAATGTTAATGGGCTTTGTGCTGTCTGTCCCACCGGTGGTTTGGATGATTATAGTACATGAGCTGAGAAGTTTCAAGATGGCACTGAGGCCAGGCCACTTGCCTTCTCTGCTGCTTTTTATTCCATGCCTGCTGTGTTTTAAGCTGCCTGGGGGTACTGTCGGTTCAGAGTTTCCTCCATTGTTTCC